AGGAAGAACTTCTTCCCTCTGAGGGTGATGGAGCCCTGGCCCAGGCTGCCCAGGGAGGCTGGGGAGTCTCCTTCTCTGGAGATATTCCAGCCCCGCCTGGCCGCGGTGCTGTGCAGCCTGCTCTGGGTGACCCTGCTTGGGCAGGGGGTTGGGCTGGGTGACCCACGGAGGGCCCTGCCAACCCCTGCCATGCTGGGATTCTGTTTTGCAGAAATATTTTAAGCCCAGATGAGGCCCCATAACTGGGACTGCTCCTTCAGGCAGGAGAAAGCTCAGAGCAGAAAGAGCAGGGGCTGGATCCCAGCGCGCAGAAATGTGCCTTTTTCTGGGTGACAGATAAATTATTGAGCGCCCCGGTGTTGTATTATGCATTCAGACATCCTCTGCTGCCCGCGCCGCACCGACTGCCGAGCCGTGAGCCGCTTTCGGAGGCTCTCGAGCAGCGCAGCTCCGAGAGCCAACGCGACAGGCCGGGGAAGCGTGAGCAGCACACGCTGCCCAGAGGGACACCCCGGGTGACAGCAATGCAGTCCGAAGGGGCACCCGCACCGGAGATCCCTCAGGGCTTTTCTGGTTAAAAAGAAAAAGGGCCTCTCACGACTCTGAGGCAAGATTTGGTTTCCTTTTGGTGGTGAGAACTCCTGTGCCGAGCATGAGCAGGAGAGAGGGGCTGCGGGGATGAGTGGCGACACCACCACTGGCAGCGAGCCCACAGATCCCAGCGGGAAGCCAACGTGCAGGGCAGGCGGGCGGTGAAATCCCGAGATGGCAGCAAGCACCAACACCCAGTGAGCGCTGCCAGAGGTCCAAACGCCACCATCCCCGCACCGACGGGACGCCGGGCACCAAAACGGACCCAGGAGCTGTGCTGAGGCACGTCCTGTCCCCGGGAAAGGCCAGAGCAGCCCTGCAAAGCCCCAGCATCAGCCCTTTCCACTCTCAGCTTCTCGATGCAAATCACAAGCTTCTCATTAGCACGCGTTTGCATGTTAATGACCTGTCTTACAGCAAGAAGCCTTTCCATCTTGTGACACTGCTTCTCCTTTCCTCCTGCACCCCCGACTTCCCATTAATGTGTCTTCTCAGCTCACATGACAGCTTCAGCAGTGAATTCTCCTGTCACCTCTCCCAAGAGCCGCAGCCTCTGGAGCCAGCGCTGCGCCGGGAGAGAGGGCACCCGGAGGGCGAGGGGACGGGGCCTTCGAGACACCCCAGCTGCGGGTGTTCCACCGGGCACTGACACGCACCCAAGCTTCCCAGCTGGGAGAGACGCCTTTGAAACAAAAATACTGAAGTAAAATAGACACTAAACCTCACTCCAAAGAACCCACGAAGTGACCC